TTAATAATAATCTAACGCATCTCACACACGGCAGTCTGATCCCAAACTAGGCAGAGCCTGTGCTATGGTAACCATACTGCTGATAAACATACTTAAATATTTCTAAATACATACATATTATAGATAAATATTATAAATATGTTTATTTCTCTCCATTTAAAAGCCAAGCCCTTGTCGGTGGAATAAAGAATATGCAATTATGCACAGAGCATATTTCTCCTGTTGCATATTTTTTGTTCTAAGCCTGAGGCCGTCTATCCGGGTTTCTACCAATTTATGCTATTGCTCATCAGCAATAACCGTGTCATGACGGATTAAGAATACAGTGTCACCACCCCTATTCATCCCGTGGGTGTCGTAAGAGCCGACTAAGGGAAAAAACTACGCAGAACTACAGCACTGCAGAGAGAAGGAAAACTTGACACAAACCCTATACCAACCCGTCTGGCCAGCGTGGTATAGTAGGCCAAAACCTCCTTTTTAAGGAGAGCCTTATGTCTAGCCGTGGACTGTTAAAGGCTGTTGATGAATAACACGAAATCTGTGCATATTTGCATCCGTATGATACATGAACAATTGTGTAGTACGCAAGCTTCACCGCATAAAACTTAGCTTAGTGAGTTTCATCATACCTTGCGTTATAGGCGTATATCTCTAGCCTGGCGCTTGGAGGTGGGCAGCCACATTTATTGCATGAAACACTTTATGTGTTGAGTAACGAAGCCTCTTGCATTTATACGCACTTTACGATTATTGAATGGATGTTAAGACTATATTATATTCTAGAGATAATAAATTATCAACTTGTAACAACTTTACTATAATCGAATGGTACTCTTAGATAATTAACTTATTTAATTCTATGGAGAGGTTTAAGCACCAGGAAATAGTACCTTTTAATCAATTCTATACTAATACTAGAAAGCCGAAGAGTTCCTTCGATTATATACAACGGGCCGAGTGAATAGCCAGGTTTATTATTGTTTTAAGACAACTCCCGCAGTACGAATATATTCCCGTGTCGCGGGGGACTTTACAAACATACATTAAACGGACACAAAGAACACCCAGACTCAGAACAACAGTTTGTGGATCACACAAAGTGTAGTCCCATGTGGGGATCGGACCCGCAACACGCACCGACGACGCGACCGCTTAAACCACTACGCCATCCGTGCAGGTAAAAGCCCATTTATCGAGAAAAGCTATAGGTTATAATAATACATCACGATGCGAGCAATAGAAGATGAACACCAATATAAAATGTTGCAAAAACGGGTCAGTTAGTCTTATATACATTAAGTGAATTCTGATAAACTTGAACCTTACACCCTCACATCAGCTTGCATTTTCTTGTATTATGTGTCATCTCAAATTGCAATAACCACGATGCTACGATGTAGGTATTCTCCACTTTAATTATATATAAGTCCTTTAAACGCCTTTGGATCGGAGGGGGGGGCCTTTTTTTCAGTGTGGAAATCCCCTCAGACCCCCACACAGCACAGAACAAAGAACTTTCTTCTGTGGCTCGAACTGACTGACTGACTGAGCACGCCGCCTTGGCTACCAGTAGCCTGGCCAAGGAACCAGGTGTAACCTAGATAGGAAATCCCTGGTGCCCCGAAGGATCCGTGTCATATACGGCTTTTAGATGACCCCTCGTGTGTACCTATCCTACTAAAGGACCCTCAAGCGTGGCGCTGCCACCAAGGGTCCTTTAGGGCTGTACCTTGAGATAAAATAATCTTCCTAAACGCTTATCATCGTTACCTCGTCCGATGTTTCTTTCATTACTTTTTTACTCTAGTTGTAATCGTCCAGAATTGATATTACTTTTTGATTAACCATTACTTAAGTATATCAAATCGATTCCCTCAATAGATTACCAATAAAAATCATGCTCAAAACATTCTGGGCAGTTTCATTTATTGATACACTTACTATCGAGATAAATAATCCACGGCCGTACGGTATCGAGTGAAATTATTCAAAAGTGCGCCTGCGCTGGTTCAAACCGGTCTGGAGGTTAACAGCGGAGCGGCACGTCCACTTGTTTACTTTTTTTGTATCATAACAATTGAGAGGCCCTCTTACAATGATACTCCGGTAATGCGACGATTATAATAATAATACAATTATATTAAAATCAACGTTTTGCTGTCTAACCGTGACGCGGCGAAGACATTCAGAAGGGTATTAAGGTATCAATTTGGAGTGTCATTTAACGACGCAATCGATTAAGATGTATCTTCTTAAGTTGTGTATTGATAAATTTGTAATAAAAATGTTTACCTATGTATCGCTGGTATTCAATAAGGTTTTATTTCCAGTAGCCAAACTTTGGTTATAAGTATTGAATAACACTTAAAAGGGTCAGATTGAGAGTACTTAGTCCTAGAAATCCTCAACCTTGTGTCTCCCAAGAAGGTTTGTGAACCTACTGTCCAGTAGATAATGGTAACCATACGCTAATAGTACTGTTGAATCACGATCTTATGAAGGGAGGGCTAGTTATAATAATAATAATAGTATTAATATTGTACCACATTCACACAACGCCATCTAGTCCCAAACTAAGCAGAGCTTGTACTATGGGTACTAGACAACTGATATAAATACATATATACTTTTTTGTTGTAAATACATACTTATTATACATAGAAACACCCAGACCAAATCAAACATTAAATGTTCATGCACATAAATGTTTGACTTGAGCGGGAATCGAACCCGCGACCTTTGGAATAGCAGTCCGTTACACAAACCACTACGCCATTCGGTCGTCAAAGTTAAACGTTTGTACTAGTACTCGTACGAATCAACGTTGAAAGCGTACTTAGAAACATTTCAAATCGCAACCTCTTTGAGTACCGGTGTTGGATAGTTGTTTAGTAACTTTTTTATGTACAATTAACCTACTAAGCCTAGTTAGAAGTAGAATGACCGAACGGGGGTTACCTGTGCCTAACTGTCCATCCGAGTTGTTTTTTACAAACATCCATGCACGAGCCCTCGCTGTCTTAAAAAGTTCATTGTATAAAAAATAAATAGCTTTTAAGACTAATGAATCATTCATACAAAAAACAGATAAATAAACACATATATAACACACATTTGAATTTAAGTTCCTTTTAAGGACCTCCGTCCGTGGGTGGTTATACTGAACAAGGCTATTTATTCAAAGGAGATATGAATCGGCACTTACTTTGATAATTTACTATTGATGACCAGGAGTAATGGTTATTGATACTTACAAAAACGCCTGACGATAGCTTTGAATTAAAAACTGTAAACTTGTTACATTACAACCTTCTTTACCCCAAATAACTAATATCTAGAAGAAAAGTAGTCGTTTGTTTCACTCAATGTGTGTTAAATAGAAATAGATTTTAATTAGGTTAATTTAGAAAATAAAACCGTCTGTCATCGGTCACAGTTATTTCTTGACTTAATGCTGTGTGCTTTATGTTCGAATTATTATTTTTATACAATTTTAAAATTTAAATTAAGAACATTAATGGAATTAGAAAAATATTAACGATAGATTTTTTTAAATATTGTTTGCCATGTTATGTTGCACCGCAGAAATCTTTTTACTTCAAACACAAGTGCGTTAAACGGCCGGCTGGACTTAGACTGGTCTCCTACCTGGACCAGCTAACGTCACGACCACGGACTCCCCAAGCTCACTAGACTTATCTAGAGCCAAACCATAAATAGCTTATTCGTAAATAATAAACCTACTTATATGTATCATTAGATCATACCACCAGACACTAGCATACCAGGGTCATTATTCACGATTTATCTTTATCAGCTAATGTGCTGATAAAGTGGTGAAGACCTCATTTTGTTTTTTTTTCTCTTTAATGTCATGGCAACGATAATTGCACCTACGGCTTCCTTTTCTACATAATTTATCCTAATCTTAATAACTCAATTTATCCCTTAAAGGTGTGGGTCTCAAGATAATCTTAAGGAGTTACGTTCGCCATATCCTAGAACGGAAGTCGTCACAAATAACCGATCTCGTTAATTAATGGGGCGAGGTGAACGATGCTTCCCCCATCTGTTGCCCCATTGGTGATGCTCGACTGAACATAATGGCTTACCACAATGTCATTTCCTTTGTACATTTTCTTAATAATTAACTCTATTCATTGTCATTAAAAGTTGGTCAAGGTATACATAACATTTCTTTAATCTTACAAATGTACGATTGTATTAGATTTTTCAAGCACCATCAGTTCAGTTTGTAGAAAAGGGGCAACTTAACTCTGAAAAAATTACTACTGTAGCAAAGTTTAATACTTCGTAAATGGAAAAATAGTCGTCACATCCCATAAATGCTTTGTGTTCTTTATACTACCTATCTACGGATACGCTACATTATGGTATATACGAGAAAATAATCATTCCCTCTTTATGTATAGAGGAGGTACTACCGATGCAAAATAACAACCTTTTATAGTACTAACAGTCTCCAATATGACGTATTTTTGTGTATATAGTAGCTATATGGTTGGACTGTACTTTAGTGCTTATTTGAAGGATGTAGGACTAGAATCAGAAGTGGAAGCGACTTTTGCCTCATGGGCATATGATTATAAGTAAAACTCCATCCTCTTCGGAGTATTTTAAAAACATGAAACTTTTTATTTACACAAGCAACATTCACAACACAAGCAAGACATTATTTTTGGATGTTATTCAATCAATGACACAATATGCCTTGGTAGTTTTTGTAATAAATATATGTATTTACTATTGATAAATTAATTAAACACTGGGAAGCGGACGTCCGCCTCCGAGTTTGTGAAGAAAGTGGTGTTCAGCGGTGACGATAGACCAATTTCAGTTAAAGTGACCTTCTCCTAGAGATAAGTAATCTGAAAACACCCGCAATCGTTTTAACTATGACTCTAACAATTGAGGAAGCAAAAGCTCACTTTTTAAAAAGCGATTGTGGATGCCTAAAATCTCCCACGTATATTATGTTATTGGTGCATTGTGTACTGTACTGGTATCTCACTTCTTTCCCAAAATCCAGCTTTGATGAACCTAGATAGCACAGGAAATGGAACTCCGATTTCACGAGGGGACGGGCTCCCTACTTTCTGGCTCCTCCAGGAGTCGGAGACCCAAAAAAAAGGTAGCGGAGAAGATGGAAATAGCGCTAATAGTTGCGGGTTGCGTGGATGCTGATTGTGCATGGTTTTCTGTAAGGTTGTATTACTAGATCGGTGATTGGCTCCGATTTGAGCCAAACTGCTGAGCTGGTTTTGAACGCAAACTGTTTCTGGCATTTTGCCAGTACATCTCATTTTAATGAGATGTACTGGAGGTGGTAGATTGCATGCAAAAAGGCAGCTTTTCCACTTTCTAAAAGTTTCATAAAACTGCTAGCAAACTACATTTTTTTTCTTTTTTTTTAAAGGCTTACTAGCAACCGAAATTACTAGTATTCCCGTTAACCCCTCCAGCTAAGCTAAATTGCTTGTGTTAGGAGTGGGTTCACGTCAGTAGTGTACTGGTCAGGATTTAAACCCACGACCTCTTGATCGCAAGTCCAATGCCTTAACAACTAGACTACCGCTAAACAATTAACATTTTATTTTTCTTTCTGTTTTAAATGTATTTATTCTAATGTTCTGAAATACATATCATATTTAGACCAAAACTAATGATGATTATAATTTGCATTTTTATGTATTTAATGTATATTTGTTTCACCATAAAATATTAATATGAGTATTTACACATAGTCTGTGGTTGCTAATGTTACTGTACTAGTAGGGAATTAGTGTTGGGTGTTAGTATCTATTGCCGAACTAGACTAAGAACCTGTCTTTCAGCTAACAGCGCCTCCGTCTCGATCTCTAAGCACATTTATTATGGAAACTAGTAATTTACTTAATTACATACATACATATTACCTTTACACATCCACTACATACACACAATACATATTTGCACATAACGGCAATCACCTTTAGAGTTCTGACGGTTTAAATACGCTAAAGAAACGCCACACACAGTTACATAACATGTAACGATATCGTTGTCTGATACCTCAACGATGTCTGATGTGCTATCCCTAATTTATAGTAAACATAAACTACATAGTATCATGTCAGTTGTGTGCTCGTTTGTCAGCGTATGCACGCCATTAAATCTTGCAAAATATTTTATTTCACTTATCATCATCATCATCATCAACTTTTAACAGCCCACTGCTGAACAAAGGCCCCTACTTAAAAAGGAGGTTTTGGCCTCCTCCTCCTCCTTTGGTGTTGGTGGAGGGTTTGTGTCAAGTTTTCCTTCTCTCTGCAGTGCTGCAGTTGGCTCTTACAACACCCTTGGGATAAGTAGGGGTGTTGACACTCAGTATTCTTGACCCGTCACACCTCTCTCTCTCTTTTAGCAACCCTAAAACCTTTGCTATCTTTGAATCTATCGCTATCTTTCTATATATAGCTAGTCATATTGCCTAAACGCAGTCTTTTGTGAAGGTACACATACTGACACAGTCTTAATTTTGAGTACAAACCTAGTATGACCTATCTAAATCCAGCAACATTTAAATTCGTTTATTACAAAGGACGTCTGAGATGATTAGATTTGACAACGGGGCCATAGCCTCCTCGGTAACTGCTGTAGCCACCTTGGCTACCTTTTGCACCAGACGATTGGCCGCCTTGCTGACCATATCCGCTCTGCATGCCGCCTTGCATAGTGGCACCCTGCATACCGCCTTGAATGCCGCTCAGCATGTTTCTCTGCATGCCATCGTGCATGCCATGCATTCCACCCCCGTTTTTAAAGTAATATTTTGACCGGTTTTTCTAGTGAATTTTGAAACAATACTCAACATATACTTTTATATATACTCTCAGTTATTCTATCTAGTTGCTAGTTGCTGCAAAGTGTCTGGTTGAGGGCAATAGACTTACCTTCTATTAGATTAAAACTACAGTCGGCAAAATGTTGACATTTAAAACACCTTTGTCTGCTCCATCGGTGAAACAGATGTTAATGTATATTTATTCTATGTCTATTCCATCTTTTTTCTTTATCTTGTCTTCTCTTCGTTGCCTCTTTACCTTTTAGTATTTAATAATATTTTATAACGGACATAGTAGCACACATCAAAATAATGTTGTGGTATGTTTAATGATGCCATTGTATCTATATATTAATTCAAAAGAGTGGCCGTGAGTTTTCTTGCCCTTTGGAAACGGGCGGTTGTAGATCGGCACAGGCATACAATGGACTTTCGATACGTACATATTTATTTTGCTAAATATTAGATAAAACAAAGATGGTTGCTATTGTGTTTTGATCTATGACTTTAGAGTCTACGTAAAAGACGATTTGAAACAATTTGATTTTTTTATGAAATAAAGAGAGTTTGAGTTTGAATAGCTTGCCACATCTTACACACGTTCGACTGATCCTAAACTTGGAAGAGCCTGTACTGTGGTAAGGGGACTGCAGATAAACATAATTAAATGTTTCTAAATACATGCGTATTCTGTAATAACCATTATATTATATAACCACATTACACCCTTGGGGGATGTCTACCAGTGTTTGTCTTTCGGCTGAGAAGAAGAAGAAAGATATATTACAGATAAATTACGCCCAGACACAGAACAAATGTTCTTGCTTATCACAAAATTATTTGTCCTGAGTGGGACTCGAACCTACGATCTCTGGTTTAGCAATTAGGATCACTAACCACTCGACCAACAGGCCAGTCAATATACTAAGACCCAAGACTGGTTCGTTCGATATCACCAATAACATACTTGGTTAATTATTTAATATAATAACTTGGGTAACTTTAAATGTCAAATATGTAATTAAATGTACATATAAAAAATGTGTATTGCTTCAATAGTTAATTACACAAAAACGTGATGTTCCATGCGATTATTTAATTATGTAAATCTTTTAGACATGAGGATGGTGCAATGGTGAACTGGTCATCAACGTGCTACCGACGTTGATTTTAGTATAGTGGGATCTGTCCGTAGTTCAGACAATTATTGGAACTAGACATTGACTGATGATCGAAATTATTATTTTTATTTTGTATCTTGTCCAGTATACTTTGTACCGTCTTTGTATAGTGTGTGTGGTTTATTTTTGGTTGTTTATAGTTCTCATTAGCAAGACTCGCAATACTCAGTTACCGTATATTGCAACCCCTAAAGTTTTTCTCCTAAAATTTATATAGTCGATTTCGATTAGTTTTTAAGTTTATAACGCAAATTGATTAAAAAGTTCCCCTATTTTTAAAGGTTATTTAAAAAAGATTACAAAGGATTCTATTTACTATGAATGATATCTAATTCTTCTTACTTTGTTGTTGCCTACTCTATACAGATTTAATTACCTGTCTGATTTATTCATAAACGCAGAGAAAAACCGCTGAGGCCACAAACTTGAAATTTTAGCCACTGATGTTCTTTAAGTTGTTCGTAAGTTTACTAAGAAAGGATTTTTGGAAATTTCACCTCTAAGGGAGAAAAATAAGAAATGAACGGTTGTATGGAACGTCGTCACTTTCAATGTTAGAAATAAACACGCGAGCGAAGTCGCGGCAACAGCTAGTTCTTTCTAAACTGACTAACCTCTTCCAGACTTATCAAAAACATTTTTTCCCTTTTAATTTGAAACCTATTTCAATACAGAACGGTACATAATCAAATAATAAAGCAATGAATGAATCCATACTTCCATACTTATATTATAATACGCTTTCACGCCTAAACCACTGAACCGATTAGAAACATTCTTTCATTAATGGAAAGCTAAATAATCAGCGAGTAACATAGGCTACTTTTTACGCGACATACACGCGGGCGGAGCCGGGGGCAAAAGCTAGTAGTTATATAAAGCAAGCCGGAGAGTAATAAACTCTCCGTGTACGCTACCTCTTTGACACATTTGAGGCTCGTCATATAATGACAACACACACTCGGTAAGTTAAGTCGAGATTTAATCATACGAGACATCGTTAAAACATAAGAGTAAGGTGGTGATTAAATTAAAGGCGGTAAGTACTACTTTTAGCGGCGGGAAGTAATCGTTTTGGTTTTTAATGGCTTAGGAGGGCAAACGAGGTCACTTGATGGTATGTGGTTTCCGCCTCCCATGGATACCAGCAACTAAGAGTGCCAAGTCCACTATCTCAATCTGTCAAAAATTTAATAATTATATTGTTGTGTTCCATGTCTGAAATTTTCCTTACACAAAATTTATTTTATTTGTCTCGTCGAAAACAATTATAATCCCAATAAAATTGGGAAAAGAAAACAAGAATAAAGTATGTACTAACATCCTATTAAGAAGTTATACATATATATAAATTGCTAGCAACACCTGACACATTATACGAATTATCGGTCAAGTGCGAGCGGCGGAGCGTAACGCAGGTGCGCCTGCGCAGGGCGGAGGGCAGCGGCCGTGACACTGACACGTTCCCAGGGTACCCAGCACCCGTGGCGCAGATACAGCAAGAAATAAAGTACAAGTATGAAAAATTACCTCATTGTCTATTGCTGTTAAATATCAATGATTAGAATCCCCATTACAGTTTTTATTACGTTTAATTAGTTTCTCTGATATCATCAAAAGAATGAATAGCGTTGAGGAATTGTGGAAAAGAAGCTGCTCGATACTACTGGAAAAACATAAACCTAAAAACCTGTCAAAAATAGTTTCAGCATATGAGCAACTTGCTTGAACTTGCTTTACGGCTGAATTATTCGAACTCGTCACAGTTTATAAAAATCTATACTTTGATTAATTAATAAACTAAATGATTTGCCTTTGATTTGATGAGAAAGACCATATGGTGAGTGCTTAGAAGCGATTAACATTTGGTGCGCCGTGTTTCTTTGCTAACTGGATTGTGGTAGAAATGTTTGATTTCCTTTTGAAGAGTCGTATGTTTAGACCTCGTCGCCCTCGGAATCTTCATCACATTTCTATATCGACAGAATTGACATATCAACGTTCTCTTGTTCCATTTCTTACATTGTATATGTTACAGTCGAAACAAAAAATGTTGTAAAGGGTGTTTCGTGAAAATATTAGTAAATTATAAATTTTCTTTACTAGTACATTGTGAAGACAGGGCTACTGAAGAATGAAAACCTGCAAGTGTAGAGTTTCATATTCCTTGTATAAAAAAAAAACGTCACACACAGATGTACAAGGACGGATTTAATAAATAAGAACGGGTTAAGGAAAACATTTTCCATAAGATGACAACATATCATCATTACTTCAAAATACTAATTTGAAATAAAAATTCAAAATATGGAATGTCTACAATTGCACGGAGACGGCTCAAGAACTATTATAACAAGCTGGCGCGTTCCAGATCCCAAGGGGGTGTGTCCCGGCGCAAATTGTCACTTGTATGACGTGTTACCTATTGCGTGTTATAACTGCCACTCGTGCAAGACTATCAGTGAAACCTATCATTTACTTGATCGACTAGCTTTATGTGACTGGTTACATGCTAATAAGGGATTATTTATAGGCATGAATGTTATTTTCATTATTTTTTGTTTAATGTCTCAATTATATTTCATGCTCTTTTCTTTTCTCAGTTTTATTTTCAGCTGTTCATTTAATGTTTTAATTTGCACGGATGGAGTAGTGGTTTAAGCCGCCGCCGCTTACTACTACGCTGAGTGTTGTGGGTCGACACTTTGTGTGATCCACAAATTATTGTTCTGAGTCTGGGTGTTCTTTGTGTCTGTTTCATGTATGTTTGTAAAGTCCCCTGCGACACAGGATATATTAATAATGCGGGAGTTGTCCTTAAAAAGTATATATTTTAAAATTTATTTTTATATCATATACCTGTAGCATCGTAATTTTATTGTGTTATTCTTCTACACACCACAATGGCTTGAGCATCTGTTACAATTGCAGGAGACGTTCATATTGCTTTGACTTTCGGCAAATATTGTATACTTTTACCTGATGATGAGATAACTGGACAATTATGTATTAAACAATCGTTGTTAGATACTAAATCTGTGGTAGTTTTAGTAATTCCTGAACTCAATCGTATAGAAAAACAAGCACAGTATTTGTCATGGTACCAGTACTTGATGTCAATAGATTTCTTTTACTAGTTAACAAAACAAAATTTTAAAATGGAAAATTTGATTTTAATTTAGGCACAGTTAAAAAAACCTAGATTTCAATAGTCTGACTGCCAGAATACTTTAATAAATACAAAATTTGAACTTTCTACCACCTGTCGCTCATCATCCGCTCTACTGAAACTGAACACAATAATTTCTTGCTGCGAAGGTCGATTGGATTTGATATTATCGAACTTATTTTGCGAAATCTCTTTATTCAACCGATATAAAAAGGGTACAAAATTTTTTTGCTAGTTTTTGTTTAAAAGTAATTCACTAAGGAATTAATAACTAAAATTTAACCGAAATATTTATTTGAAGATGGAGTTAACCTGAATACCTTTTATATGAAAAGATAACGCCCGCATTAGGAATATATCACACAAAGTGTCGTCCCATGTGGGGATCGGACCCACAACACTCAGCATAGTAGTAAGCGGCGAGGTGACCGCTTAAACCACTACGCCATCCGTGCAGTCAAAAATATATACACGCTGACCTACACACAAATATGCATGCACGAACACACATATACGGGTCTTGGTTTAGTTTTCTAACGAATCTTGTGTCGCGGCAGTAATGCTCTCGACTGCTAAGATGAGATTGGCTGGTTTGATGTCCGCCCAGTGCAA